CAGAATCTGTTGCCCCGACCAGGACTAGAACCCGGTGTGCTGGCGCCGCAAGGCGGAGGATTAGCCTAGTGAGCCGCGGTGCCGGCCGGGACTGTCTCTTTAATTAATGGCACTGAGAAATTTGGATTTCCACACAGAAAAGAATCAAGCTGGATCCTGGGCTTACATGATAGGAAAAAAAAAAAAACTCAAAATTGACAAGAAGTTTAAATGTAAGATCTGAAACCATAAAAATCTAAACAAGAACACAGGGAAAGAGTACTTGGACCTTGGCCTTAACAATGACTTTTTGGCTATCACACCAAAAGCTCAAGCTACAAAAGCAAAACTAAATGAGAGTACATCAAACTAAAAAGCTTCTGTGAGAAAAGGCAATGATCAACAAAACGAAACAACAGCCTATGGGTTGGGAAAAACATTTGCAAGCCAAATACCTGATAGGGGTTATTATCCAAAGTTTATAGAGAATTCATACAAAAGTAGAAAAATAATTCAATTGAAAATTGAGAAAAAGACCTAGAGAGACATTTCTTCGAAGAAGATATAAAAATGGTCAGTGGTACTCAACTTCATCAATCATCAGGAAAATGCACATCAAAACCACTGTGATATATCACACCAAACCCAATAGGATGGCTTTCATCAAAAAAGTCAAAAAATAACATTGGCAAAAGTGTGGAGAAAACGGGGCTCTTGTACCCTGTTGCTGACAACGTAGATTGGTACGGCCATCATGAAAAACAGTTTAGGGCCGGCGCCGCGGCTCAATAGGCTAATCCTCCACCTAGGGGCGCCGGCACACCGGGTTCTAGTCCCAGTCAGGGCGCCGGATTCTGTCCCAGTTGCCCCTCTTCCAGGCCAGCTCTCTGCTGTGGCCCAGGAAGGCAGTGGAAGATGGCCCAAGTGCTTGGGCCCTGCACCCCATGGGAGACCAGGATAAGCACCTGGCTCCTGGCTTCGGCTCAGTGCGGTGCGCTGGCCGCTTGGCGCCAGCTGTGGCAGCCATTGGAGGGTGAACCAATGGCAAAGGAAGACCTTTCTCTCTGTCTCTCTCTCTCACTGTCCACTCTGCCTGTCACAGAAGAAATAAAAAAAAAAAGACAGTCTAAAAGTTTCTTTAAAAATTAAGACCAGAATGACCAGATGCCCCAGCGATCCCTCTTCTGAACATATACCCAAAGACATGAAATCACACCTGGCAAAGATACCTGCACTCCCACGTTCATCACATCAGTATTCAAGGTATCCAAGATACAGAAACAACCTGTCTGTCAATGGACAGATGGACATAGCAACGATGGTTCAGTGTGTGTGTGTGTGTGTGTGTGTGTAAGGGAATATTATCCAGCCTTTAACAAGGAGATTCTGCCTTTTCCCACAGCAATGGGTATAATTGCAAGAATTATACAAACTGAAATAAAGCAGAAACAGGAAGAAAACTATTGTATTATCTCACTTACATGTGGAATCTATAAAGAACAAAGAGTCAGATATACAAATATAGAGAATAAAACCGTGGCTACCTGGGGCAGAGAAGAGAGGATAGGGAGCTGGGGATGTAAGTCAGAGTACATAAGGCAGCAGGTAAGCAGGATGAACTTCCCGAGAGTTCGCATGTATGGCATGAAGAATTCTAGGTAATAAAATGGCCCTGTATTTGGGTTACTGTTAAATGAGTTGGTTTTAGCTGTTCTTGCCACACACACACACACACACACACACAATGGGTAACTATGTAAGATAATTGATACACAACATGTGTATACATGTGTATATGTACCCAATCACATGTGCAGACCTCAAATATACACAAAAATTTCATGGTAAAATAATAACAGAAATAAAAATTATGTAACTACTCAGTTAAAAAAATGAATAAACTGTTGATACCACTGCATGATAAATCTCAAAATAATTATATAGAGATAAATCTGAAAATAATTATGTTGAGCAGGATAAGTCAGAGAAAATGCTCCACTGGTATAATATTCTGGAAACCCCAAAATAATCAGTGACAGAAATCCAGCAGAGGTTGCCTGAGAATAGGAGAAGAGCTGGAGCTGGAGAGGAAAGAGTGATTATAAAGAAGCAAAAAGAAGCTCTCTTTTAAAAAATTAGTTATCTATTTTTATTTGAAAGGCAGAGAGAGAGAGAGAATCTTCCATCTGCTAGTTCACTCACCAAATGGCCTCAATGGCCCAAGCTGGGCAAGATGGAAAGCCAGGAACCTGGAACTCTATCTGGGTCTCCCATGTGGTTGGCAGTGGCCCAAGCACATGGGCCATTTTCAGCGGCTTTCCCAGGCACAAGAGCAGGGAGCCGGCTGGGAAGTGGAGCAGCCAGAACTTGAACCAGCTCCCAAAGGAGACGCTGGCCTCACAGGCGGCTGCTTAACATTCTACGCCACAGCACCCCACCACAACCACCACACACACAAAGATTTATACTCAGATGTTGACAGTAAGCAGCTCTATCCAACCCAGGCGAAAACTGGATAACAACTCCAGTATTTATGAATAAGTGAATGATCATCTAATTGTGGTATATTCCTACAGTGAGAAGGAACTGCTGACCCAGACAGAAAGGTGAAGGAATCTCATCGTGCTCAGTGTAAAAAGTCAGACATAAAAGACTATATACTATACGCGGGTGATTCCATTTCTATAAAATTATAAAATGTGCAAACCTAGTCCTAGTGGCAGAAACTGCTCAACAGTTGTTTGGGACAAGAGGCAGCAGAGAACTTTCCAGGGCTGTGCTGATATTGTCCATCTTGATCGTGGTGCTGGTGGTTACATGGATTCCACACCTGTCAAAAGCTGTTAACCTGGACAACTAAAATACTTGAACTTCATCATTTTTGTAATAATTCACAAAGAAAAATGTTCAAAGACATTACCAGCAGCTGCAAAAAGCCTCTAAGGTAAAAGAAAAATGACCAAATGCACAAACACATGGAAGCAACTTGCAGGAGACTGTGCAAACACAAACAAATATCCCCAGAGAGAGAAAATATTGCTGTCATGAAATAATAGTGTGCTTTAACAAAAGAATATTCCAAGAAGCAACAGCTCTTGGAAATTAAAGCTATAATAGCAGAAAAGATAAACCAAATAGGAGAACAAGAAGCTAAGGATGAGTGCATTTCTTCATTTTTCTTATTAACAAACCTGTAAGTATCTATGTGACAGGCACTGGAAATACAACAGTGAGCGAAACAGGCAAAAATCCCATCCTTTGTGAAGCTTACATGATAGTAAGAGAGACAGACCACAAAAATAAACAAGCAATATGTCGGCAGGTGTATCTGCTAGAGAGAAAAATAAACCAGGAGCAGGGATGAGGGAGTCTGGGGGAGAGACGCAGGATTGCAGTCTTCTTAAATGGTCAAGGAAGTTTTCATTGAAAGGGTCATAGCCAAATAAAGGACCTAAAGCCGGTGGAAACAAGCCAGGGTGGTTGTCAATGACAAGGAAGTCAGTGTGGCTGGGGCAGAGCCAGCCACGGCGAAATGAGGACAGTGGGCCAGCGTGATAATGAGTGAATGATAATCAAGTAGTGTTCTCTGAGCCAGTTTAAGGACTTCGACTTTTGCTCTGAGATGGAAAGATAGAGGAAGCATCGGCAGAGGCGTGTCACGACCTGGCTGAGGTATAAAATGGTGCTTTCACTGACAGATGGATGCAGGCAAGGGCAGAAACCGGCTACCAACTGGAACCGGGGCTGAAATGACGGAGACCTGGACAAGGGTGAGAGCTGAACTGGCGAGAACTGATCAGCTTCTGGAACGATCTTATCATAGAGGGAGAATGTTGATGAACGGGAAATGGAGAAGCGGAGAGAGGAGAAGGCTTCAGCCAGAGCCGTAAGAAGAGTGGAGCTTCTATCAGATCAGGAAGACAGCAGCAAGACGCTCTGGCAAGGAGCAAGGGAGACTCCCGTGGGAAGGGCTTCCAGACCTCGGGGAGGCCGTGTGATGCCTGCGGAGAAGGACTAGGCCCAGCTCAGAGAGGACACCTTGGCGACCGGCAACATGCCGGTGGGCTATAAAGCCAGTAGAACGGGTGAGAATATCAATAAGGATGAGGAAAAGCCGGACGCTGAGGAGAAAAGAGGCCAGGCCGTGGCGGCAGTCACTGGGCGAGGAGGAAATGCAGGAGCAGTGCTGCTCTGGAAGCCAAGAGCGGGGCATTCTGGGAGGAGGGAAGTGGCCACTGCTTGGTGACCTAAGGGAAGACTAAACTGAGCACTGTGTTCGGCAAAGTGGAAATCACTGACGGCGTTCAGAACCTACAAGGCTCAGGTTCTCCAGAGTTCTGCAGCTCCCGTCCCCCCTCAGCCCGCCCCTAACCTCTCACTCAGCGGGCGGCGCCCTCACCCTGGCCCTCGCCGTGACCGTGAGTGTCAGCACAAGTCGGGGCCGCCGGGAAGAAGGCGGGAGAAGGCACCATTGGACGAGGACTATTTCCGGGACTGAGTCCAGCTACTTGAAGAGATCCCAAGCAATCCCAAAAGCCCCACGGTAAGGCGGGCAGGCCCTGCGGGCTACCTCACAATGGAAACAAAGGGCCTGGCAGCGCCGCCGAGAGGAGCGCCCCCTGTTGCACTGAGAGAGCACTGCCGCGAGCCCAGAGGAAAGCCGCGGACCAGCCGCCACCTCGCGTGGGGCGGCAGGCAGCTCCTCACCCGGGGAAACCGAGAGGAGGACCGGCGGCCCTCAGACCCTCTCCCTCGCCTCAGCCACATCCGCCCTCTGCGAGGACGACTGGGGGGCCTGGCTGAGCCACGGAAGCGTCACGTAGCGCACCCGCGTGTCGCTCGGAGCCGTCTGTGCTGTCCCACGTTGCACGCGTGGGAAACAGGCTGGGGAGAGGACGGCGCTTCTTCCATGCCTGACCCTCACGGCTTCTGGGTCACAGTTTGCAGCATGGCCAGGGGAAGACCGAGGGCCCTCTTACTGCAGACTGGGTCACGACGTGCCACGTGGGAGTACAGAGCCCCGGATGCGGCGGCCTAGCCCTCAGCACCCATTCCCACCTTCCTCCAGCCTGCCTTCCTGGACTGCGGGGGCCGGACACGGGAGAACACATGCTGTACTACTATCTCGTTCCCACAACGTCCAAGACCAGGTGCAACTAATCCAAGGTGATGGAACTCTAGCCGAGGATTGTTGGGGCTGCGTGTTGTACCGCGGGAGGGGCCCGTGACTGACCAGAAAGAAGGACAAGAAAACTATCTGGCTCCGTCACACAGGTGCACTCGCTTGTCAGAACGCGCTTGTAATCAGCGCATTTCCGTAAACCTCAGTAAACGTGCGCAAGCATCTGGCTTAGAAGCATGTTGGGATGACCTGAGATTTTTGCCTGGCACTTGGTGCTCACTAAGTAGTAGCAGGGGCATTAGTAATAATTATTAATCTTAATATTGTTATATTAGCTTCCTTTTGAAAAGGAAGCTGGGAAGTTTTTCCACTTTTTTTTACTTTCAACCTTTCTGCCTCTGATGTTTTACGTGTATCTTTTAGAAACATTTTTAAAATGTTTACATTTTAAAATTAAAAATTTTAAATTTTAACATTTTTAAAATTAGTTTTTGGCATCTGTTGTAATTCCACATATATTTGCACTCATTGCTACCTCTTTATTTTCTTCTGCATTTTTATTTTTCGCTCAGATTTTTTTCCTCTTCATTTTTCTTTCTTTTCTGGGCCTTCTTTTGGATTAACTTAGTTTTTTTTTTTTTTTTTCTCATTCATTTTTGTCTTAACCTCTACCAATTTGGGAGTTAGGCACTCCATTTCTAGCTGTTACCCTTTAATTTTAATATGCATACTTAATATAGTATTAGTGGAGAGTTAAGCAATGTCTTTATTCTCTCTCCAGAAAATTTAAGTCCTCCACATCTCCACTGCCTGCATCTTTCCCAGACCCAGCTTCTCATTCCCTTAAGTCTCTTTTCACCGTGTCTCATCATCAAGCCCATCTTTGAGTTTTCAATTGCAATTATTACAATAATCCTCTTTTCTAGAAGTTCTATGTAGGCCTCTTTTAAATCTATCCAGTCATTGTTTACGGGATCTCATTCCCTGAACATTTTTTTTTTCTTTCTTTGGGTGATGGTGCGAGTGAGGTGAGGGGAAGACAAACCAATCAGAAGCACAGCGGTCAAAGGTGCAACAGGCTGGGCACGCATGATGCATTTGTGGTTTCAGAAGTCCTCAAGAGTGACCACAGCAAAATAGGGGGAGGGAAAAAAAAGAGAGACTTGGAGATGCGGGACTGGCCCTGGGGGCGGTGCATGCCTGCAGCCAGGAGATGAGCTGTGATCTGCTGTGTTCAAAGGGGCCCTTATTTTTAGAAAACAAGGGTGAGTTGAACGCAGCCAGGAGCAAGCATGCTCAGCTCCTCCACACTCTGCAATACGCAGGGGTGAGGGACAACCCAGCCCTGTCTTAGAGACCTGGTAGGAAGCAGTGACCTCGGGAGCCGCGGTGCAGTGGGAAGATGGAAGAGACTTGCCTCTGGCTCGGGTAAACCTTTGCTGCCCTCCTTGGCAAGAGCAGCTGCCTTTGTCACACACTGCAGCCTCTTTTCATTTCCTTCTGAGCGCTTATCATAGATCATTTCAAAAATTTATTTATGGGAAACTCTGATTAATATTCATGATTTCAAACTGAGTCCATCATGGCGACAGACTGCACTGCCTGGAACCGCTGGGTTCCCAGCAGCCGGCCAAGTGCCGGGCACTGGGGTACTCAGTCAGCACTTGGGGAGGAAGCAAAGGAAAGGGCAACTGTGAGAAACCTGTGTGGGAGGAGGGGAAGCCCAGGGCTCCACCGTTTCACGCCTTTTGCCATTCGTTCTTCCTAAGGGCAGAGTCTGGGATGCAGCAGGCATGGGGAAGGCAGCTGTATTTAAACTTGTGGGCTTATGAAGGCTCAGAAGCCGAGAGCTGTGTTTTTGCAGCAATTGCAGGCAAAAACCACTTTTGTTCACTGCTTCTGCCAAATTCATGGTTGCTCCAATCCCCTCGCCCGCCCAGTGCTTGGATGGGAAGAGCGAGGTGTCCACCTGTCTGCGCTAGGGGCCAGGGGCCAGGAGGTGGGGGGGGGGGGGCTCCCCAGCTGCCATTCCCTGGATGATGCGGCTCAGAAAACCCGCTGCCAGCCCCCAGGGGCTTCCTAGCGGCTCCTCCACCCAGACTGTTGCTGCTGTGTGGAGGCCAGCAGAATCCTTTGAGTGTTCTTTCCTCCCTAAAAGGAGCTTCTGGGCCTGCAACTTTTGTGGGCATTCTTTTCCTTTTTTCTTCCAGTAACCCAAAGAACTAAATCGAGGCTTTTCCCATTCTTGACAGACAGGCAAGGAGGAGCCTAGACAAGCTGTATTAGTAGCAAAGGCAAATGCTTTGACTCCCACACCTAAGTCCTCAGAGGACCAGGAATTAAGCATCGCTGAGCTCCTGGGAACAGTGGAGCTGCAGCAATGACCCCAATAAACCCTCAGACTCTGTAGCTAAGGACCTCGCAGCCATAGCCGTGACAGATGTGTGCACACACCGGTGGAGTCTAGAGAGTGAAGGCTGTGCTCTGTGAAGGTGCAGATAAGGCGGGCATGATGTCCAGACGGGGAAAGCAGGGAAGGCTTTGTGCTAGAGGTGGCAGAGACTGAGCTAGTCCTGGGAGGAAGGATGTTGCCGGGAAAATCACCATAAAGCACTGGTCTGCCTCCTCTGAAGAAAGCAGAGCACAAAGAGTTTGTCTCCGGTAGCAGGGAAATCGCATAGCACAGGTGCCCGGCACATAGTAACTGCTCAGTAAAAGGTCAGTGAATTCTATCACGGATCAAACAGGTTGTCCAGGTGATGAGCAGTCGGAGGGCAATGACCACGTCGTATTTAGTTCTGTGTCCTCCCCAGCATAACACCGAGGCTGAGCATGAGGAGCCCCATACAAATTTTGAGATGAATGAATGAAAAGAGGGGTCCTTTCTACCAACCTCTTACATTATACACAAGGGAGGATTTATCGAGAAGGGATATGGTTAGATTTTCCCAGGGGCTTCTAAAGAGGGCTGTGTTGTCGCCACAGGTCTCTGAAGACAAGCTGCCACTGTCCTTGAGGATTTAAGGGGCCAGCGTGGATGTGTTGGAGCATGGGCTATAGTGAGAAAAAGCTAAGCGTGTACAGAGAGGGGAGAGGATGCTGAGCCAAATGGCTTTTGAAGTTTCAGGAAAACGGGTGGTTAAGATCACAGGAAAACACGCTCAGCTTCTGATCCCAGCACGGTTGCTCCCGTGCTCGCTGGGTGATCCTAGGCAAGGCCTCCCCATCTGAGTAGAGGAAGAACACACTCAGACTCGATTTCTCCCACTAAACCCTCGCAACATGCTCCTGATACCAGGAACGTGTGTCAAGGTTTTGCCCACACACCAAATGCGTAATCTGTCCTGCAGGCACACAAGCCGGGTATCCTCTAATCCGGTGCTGACAACACTTGGAGATGGCAGATCCCACAGGATGAGGGCTCCCGTCCTTTCACAGAGAGTAAACCAGAGCAGCAAAACTGCCCCCTTCTTTAAGATGCCAATTGCAGGTCCCCCTACCTATGGTCCCGTCCTCGGCTTCAATCTGTCAGAGCAGCTCACAGAACCCAGGGAAACACTTGCTTACATTTGCCACCTAGCACAAAGGATATTGCAAAGGATACAGACAAAGAGATGCATGGAGCCAGGTACAGTAGCAAGGCCGCACCACACTGCCCACCAGGAACCTCCACATGTCCAGGCACCCGGGAGCCCTCTGACCCGTTCATTGCACAGGCAGGATTATCAGCAGACTGGGTGAGGACACGCAGCAAGGCCTGTCTGTTCAGATTCTTCAGCATTCCTTCCTTGGGACATGGGCCAGGACCCCCCTGGAACAAGGAGGGCCTTATAACCTCTGCTTAGGATCTAGTTAGAGGATGACCTCAAGGCGGGCTGTAAGTAGGGGAAATTAGCGTTTCTACGACTTGCCTTGGGGAACAGAAATTGCAGTTTCTACGGCCTGCCTTGGGGAGGGAGACTTAAGTCAGGAACCGTGGGTGGAAGTCAAAGTTATAAAATGACACCGTCTCTGAGCCAGAGCTTTCTGATCATGGGCACGGGTGGGGAGCAGAGTGCCCGTGGCCGGGAGTCATTGAGAGGATTCCACGAGACAATGGTACTAAGCATCAAGTAGGCAGCACTGGTACCTGGGACTTCTCCCTCGGACTCTGCGCAGGGTGCAATCTGAGTGTGGCACTGGCATCCCGCGGATTCTGTGCCTGTCCTAGAGTGTCGCTCCCCCTCTTCGTGGAGGAACGACACTAAACCCTGCCTAGGCTTCATATCCGAGTCACGGCACCATTATGTCGCTCCCCCTCTTCGTGGAGGAGCAACACTAAACCTTGCCTAGGCTTCATATCCGAGTCACGGCACCATTATGTCGCTCCCCGTCTTCGTGGAGGAACGACACAGGACCCTGCGTTGTTCTTTCGTCTGCTCGGCCCTCCCCGGGTTTGCTGCTGGTTCTTCCCGGGTTGGCTGCTGGTCCTTCCCTGGTTGGCTGCTGGTCCTTCCCGGGTTGGCTACCGTCCCTTCCACCTCCGTGAAAGGGCGGTTCCCCCTGCCACATTCCCCACTTCCGCGGGGGAGCAGCACACCGCCGGCCGGCTCTCTCGGGGGCTGCACAGGTGTTCCTTCAGATAGATGTTCCCCCTAGATGTTCCTGGTGCATGCCGTCTCTCTCCTCCTTTATAGTCCTCCTCTGCCAATCCCAACTCGGCTGCCCACACGCCGAGTACGCTGCTCTCCTCCAATCAGGAGCAAGTCCTACAGTTTATTGGCTGAACTGGAGGCAGCTGTGTAGAAGCTGTTTTCTTCTCTCCCAGCGCCATATTGTGGGAGAGCAGATGCATAGAATTAAGTCTTAATTCCAGTAACTTAGTCTAGTCCAAGTTGCTCCCAGTTGCTCCCCACAGATCCCCCTTTCTTTTTATTTTTTGGCGTTGATACGCGCCTGTCTTCGGTGTCCCGCGGCACACACTCTGCTCTGCTTGCTAGAGTTGCCACAGGTTCTTACAAGTCCTATCAATCAGGCAAACCGAATCCAAGCCCTCTCATTGCCA